ATATATATATATATATATATATATATATATATGGATATATATCCCAATTCCGTGGGATAAAGAAACAAAATTAGGAAGACTTTTGGCTGTTACCTTGAAAAACGAGGTTGCTCCTTTCCCTAAAGCAGCATGTACATGTCTCAGCAGTAACTTTCTGCCTTCTCAACCAGCTTTGTACACATTTTAACACATGGTCCCACTTTGCTGATAATTAGGCTCCACCACGCCCTCTAAAACGTGGACTTCTGCTGTCATTTTAGTTTTCCCTCTCAAATTCCCTAAAGACATTTCTTAAAAGTGAGGATAACATTTAAGGGATTATCTAGGAGATTTAAAACTAAAAAGTACCCTTTTTATCATTCTAACAGACCTTAGATTCTGAGGGAAAAAACTATTGATGTTAGCAGAAACTTAAAAAAAAAAAACCTAAAAAAAACCCCGAAATGTATGAAATGATGGCTTAACTTTTGAAATTGTATTTATGTAGTAACTAAATCAGAAAAATGATTATTGTCTCAGAAACATAAATGAAAAACCATATATAAGCTTTCACAATGAGCCTTTAGTGTTTGTCAAGATCTCTAAGTGCAACAAATGAACAACCAAGCAATCAAAATAAATAAATTAGGCATTTAAACGGAAGTCCATTTGACAAGACATTTTGCATTTGGTGATCAAATTATATCTGATCACTGCAGAGAACTCTACCTCAGGGAGAAAGAGGTAATAATCATTATCTGAGCCCTGAGGAAGTCGTCAGAAAGCATTTCCTGTACTCACATTTGTCCTCATTTTCTCTGTTGCTTATACAGTGACCTTTTCACTTGGTGCCCTTGGAATTGAAAAGGCAGTCCCTTATGAAACAGAGAGTAGAGCAATAGAATCGGAAAATCTAGTCAGCAAAAGTCACTTGTTTTAACCTTACTCTAAACTCGTTTTTTTTCATTCACTCTGGGTGGGAATGCCATTGTGCTCCTTGGTGTTCTGGGCCCCTGCTCTGTTATGCAGAGAGTCATGAGCGAGGCATCTAGATGGATTGTTCTAGCAAACCAGATGGACAAAGGCAGCATCAACGTGCAGCCAGGTGTCTAGGAGAGGAACGTGGGCTTCCAGAAGGAGCACCAGCTCACCCTCCTGTTTTAACCTTGGGACAGTCATTTCACTCCTTTAAATCTGTTTTTGTGTCTGTGAACTGAAGATAATAGAATCAGCCTCTTGGGTTGTTATGAGGATGGAGAAAGGAATATATATTTGAAGGGTCTGAGAGGACAGTCTTTAAGCACTAGCACTAGGTAGGTACTTGATACATATTTGGGGAATTTGGGTCTGAGAGAGGCAACAGCTCTGTCATCTGTTGCTGTGTACTGATGAAATACAAATTGTGATGGATGTTGGCGTATGAGAAGTTTGATTAAGAAGGAGAACCTTCTCATCCTCCCCCCAAAAATTCCATTAGTGCAGCCCCAGCTACGTGTAGATAATGTGTGCATTATCCGCTCTGTTGTCTTCTTTAGTATCACAGTTGTTTCCTTTACCATGACTACAGAATAGCAACAGGAATTGTCCTGGCTTAAGTTTATTTACCTTAGTACTCATCTAGTGGAGAACCACGGGATTAAGGCACATTGGAGACTGAAATTGACATTAATACATCTTGCTCATTCCAGGGATTGTGGAGAAAGTTGGGTCCCTTTCCCCCAAAAGACACTTTGTTGATAGAAAAGGTAGGTTAGTGATAAGTTCATAAATGTAATTGACATGTTCCCCCCCCAAAAGTTCTCATTTGTAAATAGGATTAAATTATCACCGTTGTAATATTCCAGATACATTACTGTTACTGCATTTTTATTTTCAAAGTGTTGACCTATTTTATCC